ATATTCTTGCTATAAATTTAAACATCATCAAAATAAACTACAAAAAACTTACATATAAAATTCACAAAACATGGTTCATTAATCTCATTTAAATGCTAATTTTTTCTTACTAATGCTAATAATTTTACTCATTATACATGAAAGCTTTGATACATCACAAATTTGACTCTCTATATTTTTCTCATTGCCTTTTATTATACAGTCAAAACTCAGTTTAATCAAACTATTAAGCAAGTTCAATGTAACAATGGACATGAATTGACTTTTAACAATATGAAATATGTTTTAAAAAATAATCATGGCATACTACATCAGTTATCATATATTTATATTCCATAATAAAATAAGATTGTTGAATGTACACATTAATATCTTTTAAAGATAATATGATTTTTATTTTTTATTTGGTTCACCTATAAAAGTATAAGAATTTGTTCTTGAATATTATACACGCAACAGAAACTATGAAACAAAATTATTTGAAAGTTTTTAGGATCCCGTTAAATAGATCTAGAATTTTTTAAGAATTTATTACCTAAAAATCTGATCATTTTCAATTTTGGATAATTCTTTAAAGATCAAGTTATCGCAAACTATAATCCGTATAATTGTCTGGCTTTCAATGGTAATTCACATGAATCATCTGTAAGATATATTTTAAATCCCTATTTAGGAGCATTGGATTGCTTTGACTATAATGCTAGCTTACTACTTATAGAAAAATCTAAAAAACTTTATAAATTGAAAAAATATTAATTTGCTTCCTGCATAAATTAATTTAGAAATTTTTTTAGAAATTAACTCAATCAAATCCTTGATTTTTCTAGGTCTAGAATATAATCCTTATATTAATTATACTCTAGTTTTTAATTTCTAAAATATATTTTAATTAAGTCATACTTAATTAAATCATCCTAGTTTAATTTTTAACTAATGGTTCTTAATGTATGTGACCCATTGGGTTTCTAATAGTTGGCCCAAATATAAATTTTAATTCTAATTAAATAAAATTAAATAAATTAAATAATTTAATTTGTTATTAATTAAACAATTAATTAATTTATAATTGAAGATCAAGTGCAGCATCTAGCAAAGTGTCTTGATACCCTAAATATTAGAAAAATTATTAATGATTTGACTTAACCTTTCAGTATCTGGTTTCTTAGTGTAATTAATATATTTTCATAAATATTATTATAATTTAACATTAAAGCATGAAGTATGTTTACCATGTTAAATCATACATAATAGTCATTGATCATTTGAATAAGATTTAAAACTCTTTTTAAATCTCATTCCACATTAGCTAAGGATTTCTCAGTCAATACTATTTGAGAATAAATAAAATATTTTTTTTAATTCATCTAAAGTGATGAATCATCTCTTGATCACTCAAGTACATTAATATAGTTAATGTTATACTCAGTTTCTATTCTTTCATTACCTTAATTAAAATAACATGTAACAGGATTAAAATATAATATTTTATGACTTAGTAATCTTAAGTTTAATAATAAGTTACATAACCATTATGTGAACCTTTCCATAGACAAAGATGATTATCACATATGGATCTCATGCATCTACACATTAGTTCTAAATATTCTTTATACCTCAACTTATGAGAATAATTGTTTTATTTCATATAAAAACATAATATGTATATGTCTTTATAGCTCTAATGCATGTTCAATATTTAAGAAAGAATCGACTAAGAATATTTTAAGAACAATGTTTTGATGCAATATAAATATAATAATTTTGTAATTTTCTTTAGAAAGTATTTTTGTGCCATATATTTTATTTTTACTCTAGATTCATTAATCTAATATTACATGAATATTAATGATAAATTAAATTTTTATTAATAATAAATATATTTTTACAAGAATATAATAATGTCATTTGTAACTAATCAATTAGCTATAGAATATATTAAATTAATAGTTCTTACTACCACATATTTAATCAATCATACACCATCTCTTTTACTTAAAGGAAAATATCCTTATAAAGTTTTTTTTTCAAATTTTTTTCATATTCTCATTTAAAAGATTTTGGATGTCTTTATTATATCTATAATATAACAAAGTTGAGGGATTTTATAGTGGTCTTAACAAGATTAATAACCACTCTCAACACCTTAAAGATTTTATTTACAAGTTGTCTGAAACCACTAAGCTATTTTATTCTAGTTCTAATATGGTTTCTTAGATATGCCATATTTCTTTAATGCTTTCTTATTATATTATCTATTATTTCTTTTTACCTTTGTTGTTGCCATCTCTAAATATAATGAACCTATAACCTATGCATAAGTTGTTTAAGATCAAAGATGACAAGATGCAAGGCCCTGGAAAAATTACAACACTAAGCATAATAGTACTTTGATCTTGGAATAACTTCTTCCTAGTGAAAAACTTGTGTATTATATACACGTATACACACATTAATAATATAGATAAAACTGATTGTGATGCAATCTTAGGTTAATATTCTACTACATAAGGACAATATTATATTGTATTATGTGTGTTGCGGGATAAAAACATTATTTGATAATTAATTGGTTATTGAAATATAATTATAAATGTTTAGAGTAATTAAATAGTAGTTGTTTGAATTTTACTGTTCCCATTAGTGAGATTGGTAATATACTAAAAATATCTTAATAGATATATGTCATTTATACTAAATTAAAGAATAAATTATGATAATCCCTCTTGATATATTATGAAATTACAATGACCACCAAAAATTTTAGAATTTTACAAAAAACACATTTATACCCAAAATGCCTTTAATGTCTAGAGAATTATTAAAACCTATAATTGGTATTTCGGATAAAACGGTTTTTTTTTTAATAATATTCGCTTAGACTTAAAAGAGGTTTTGTGATATATTTAAACTCTTAGGTGTGATTGTAATTTCGTGATAGCATAGAAGGTTTTTATGTAATTTTCATAACTTTTTTAACTTATATGGCATGTGAACATATTTGTTTGTCATTATTTTAGAATAATTCATATTTTTTAAAAAATAAAAAATAAAATGTTAAATCCGGTTATATATATATATGTATGTATGTGAAAAACACTAATATCTTAGATATGTGTGGTTTTTTTAATTTTAAAGAATAGATCCAATAATAAGTGGTTGTATTTTTTGGTTAAAAACATACGGTATCCTACTTTGTTTTAAAAATAATTTTATTTTTTTAAGTGACACCTAATTTAGTTTTAAAGTAAAATAGATGCTCAAATTGTGTGTGTGTGTCTATATATATATATATATATATATATGAAAAACACTAATATCTTAGATATGTGTGGTTTTTTTAATTTTAAAGAATAGATTCAATAATAAGTGGTTGTATTTTTTGGTTAAAAACATACGGTATCCTATTTTGTTTTAAAAATAAATTTATTTTTTTAAGTGACATCTAATTTAGTTTTAAAGTAAAATAGATGCTCAAATCACTATTTAGGGTTTTTTAAAACTATGCTTGAGACCAGGAAAAAAAAAACAAAATAGGTTGAGGAGGTAGCAGACCCAATAGCAAAAGACAAAGGCAAGCTTTGGCCCATCAAAAGGTCTTCATGGGCTTTGACCCAATACCCTCTCTCTTTGCAGGAAAGGCTCGCACATGGCACTCAAAGCTCACTTCAAACGTTGGATTTATAGCATGAGAAGCCATGGTTTATGGGTTTGGATTTTCTCAAGGAAGAAAGAGAAAATTAAACTCAAATTCTTATATTGTCCACCAAAATCCAGTTATTTGACAATTACTTTGGGGTTAAAAGATTGAAAGAATCAGTTAAAATATATATTAAGTTCGATTTAATTAAATTATTTTTTAAATTCTAATGTGTCAACTACTTAAGAATTTTCTTTTTTGGTGTGTTCATTTATTTATTTTATTCTTAAGACTGAATATTGTTTCGTACCTTCCCAAATGTTTGCAAATGTCAGCTACTGAAAAGTATAAATTAATTTTGCAATAAAATTTTAGATAATTTATTAATTAATTTCTTAAAACAAATCACATCATTCATTATAAAGATAAATATCTAAAATTTGATCTTGAAAAAAAAATCACTTGAAAAACAAAAAAACAAAAACATGTTAGAAAAAAACTCCTAATTTTTTTATTTAGAACATATTTAAAATTATAATAACGATTAATATTTATATTATTTTTTATTTAAAAATACATTAAATTAATATTTTTTATTTTTAAAAAAATATTTTTAAAATTAGCCTATCAAAATAATATATAAACTTAAAAATATAATTTTTAATAAAAATAATATTAAAAAAAAGAAAGATTTCAACCCTATTTCATTCCTAAATTAACTCTTATTCTTTTGACTTCTCAACTATCTTTCTTCTTCTTTTCTTTCTTTCTTGACTTTATCACCTATAAAAGTCACCATGTCCATTATCATTTGATTGAACCCCATGACAGCAACCTTCAAAATTTAGATGCCTCTTTCCACCTAGAATAAATAAAATTAGTATGTTAATTGTGTCTTTCTAAGAAGGTTCTATCGTTTTGGCTTTATATTTTATGCGTATATTAGTTAAACTTCTTTTTAAAATAATCTTATGTAGATTTTGCTATGCATTGATTGAATTTCTTATTATTTATATTTTTCATGTTCTTTTTATTTTTCTAGTGATTTTGCCTTCAAAACTAAAATTTGTATTATGTATGTATTTATGTTTAAATAAATCATGTCAATTTTCTAGAGTGTTAATTAATAAAACTGTCTTATATTTTATAAAATTAATGTTGTGTGTGTGTATATATATATATATATGTATATATAGATCAACAAAATATACTTATTGATAAATAAATAAAAAGTTAGGAGAATAATTGATAGAAAAAAAAATAATTTGATAGGACTCATGTACTTTAGGGAATAAAATAAAATTTAACCAAATAGATAATGTATGCATCTATCTTTATATTTTGATTTCAGAATATAATTTATATTATTTTTAATACATCCTCCAAGTAAAAGCTCTTTGGGTTTGAAACTTGCACATGTTAACTTTACCTTGTGTTTAATTTTTATCAAATAAATGAGGATGGTGAGATTCAAACTCGTGACCGCTTGGTTATCAAAACTCTGATACAATGTCAAAAAACCATCTTAATCTAATGTCAAGAAATTATCTCAACCTAATAGCTTAAATTTTTAGGTGAGGTTTCAAGATATGATTTATATTATTTTCTAACACACTCTTTTAAGTGAAAACACTTTAAGTTTGAAACTTATGCATGTCCATTTTACCTTGTACTTTAATTTTTATCAAATAAATGAGAATAGTAAGATTTGAACTTGTGACTGCTTGGTCATTAAGATCCTGATACTATATCAAGAAATCATCTCAATCCAATAGCTTAAGCTTTTAGTTGAGATTTCAAAATATAATTTATATTATTCTCTAATAGTATATTTATATTTTATTTAATATATATTTTTTCTACCTTTTGAACTAAAAGGTTTTGTAAATAATCGAGAGAAAGATTAACTTTCAAAACTTGAAATTAATGATAAAGAAACTTAAAACAATATTTAAAAGAATCTAGAAAATGTAAACAATTTAATACATAGGAAAGTTAAAACTTGGAAAATCCTGAAATAATTAAATAGTTCATAAACAATAAAGAAATCATTGAAAACTAACGTGTTAAAAAACTTGTGTTCTACAAAACTTATTTTTACTGATATAGACATGTTTATATTTATTAGTATTTTTTAATATGGTTTGTTAGTTTGTTTTTGTAAATTATTCAAATTATTTATTTTTCTAATAATTTTTCCAATTTTCTATAATATTTTTATGTTTTCTTGGTTTTTTTCTTAAGATTTCAATTATTTTATTTTTTAAAAATAAAAATATTATTTTTTATTTTGTTTCTTAAAATTAATTTTTCTTTTGGATAGTTAAAGGAGTGTTTTCATCTAATTGTTTTTTAAAAAAAGTAATATAAAAGAAAATACGAACAAATAAAGTCAAATAAGAGTGAAAGATTTTTAAAATAATATTTGAGAAAATACACCAATATAAAAGTATGTAAATACTCGTATAAAATAATTTATAATATTTGTGATACCCTATTTTTTATCCTCATTTTTCAAAATATTTTAAAAAACATAAAATTTTTCTTATCAATACAATTTAATCAATTTCCAGTCATTTCATAATTTTTGACATTTTTACTTGTTTTATTATTGTGTGACAAGTTCTTATAAACTAATAAATAAAAGAAAAGAAGAATAAGGAGTGAAATAATAAGAAAATGAGATGGAGCAACATAATGGAAGATCAAATAAAAAGAATTCAAATATTAACAAAAAAAAAAAGGATCATCTTCCATAAACTAGAGATTCGAGAAGGAAAAAATAGAAAAATTATTGAATTTAGATAATCCTCAATTATGAATCTCATTGAAATTTCAATGAAGATATTTAGATAAAAAGACAATTAATTAATTGTTGAATTTTATTTTCTAGGATGCTACACAATAAATTATGGCCTATAGTAGAAAGAAATACACTAGAAACAGAGAATAAAAAAAAAAACACAAAAACTATTTAGAAAAGAAAATAATCAAATAAAAACACTCTCTCTCTTAAAATAAAAACCTAACTACCCTTTCTTTCCTTCCACCTTTCAACCTAGACTTCATCATACTGGTAGTGATAATCCCCTCGATCATATCAACTCCTCCATCTTCTCATAACAACTCTTTTGCATCACTAGACAAAACTCCAAAAATAGAACTAAATGTAAATAAAGCGGGTAATTAATAAGGTTGGTAATGAATACCTTGTATAGGTTGGGAGCAAAGAAATAAAATGATTTATCTAATATGTAAGGATTTGATTTTGGTGTGATATATATATATATATATATATATATGTTTTTTCTTGTTTGATTGATGAGTGTGAATTTATTTTCATGTTTTTGCTTTAATATAATAAATAATTTGTATTTTTTCCTATTTCACTTTAAATTGGTAGAAATTATAAAATTTTTAATTAGATCCTTCCTCAAATATCATATTAAAAGTTAATGAGTTAATTCTATATATAAATATTAATATGCGTTAATTAATTTTTATTTTCTTTGTTTTGATATAATAAGTGATTTGTATGTTTTTCCATTTCACTCAAAAGCAACCCAAAAATTATAGATTTTTAATTAAGTTCTTCCTAAGATGTCCTGTTATGAGTAAACAAGTTGATTTTATATGTAAATATTGACATGTGCAAATTTATTTTCATGGTTTTTGCTTTAATATGATAAATGATTTATATTCTTCCTTGTTTCAATCAAAATTAGACCATGAATTGTAAATCCTTAATGAAGTCCTTCTTTGAAAGTTGTATTAAGAGTACACATGTTAATTCTATATGTAAATATTAACATATATGAATTTATTTTTGTGTTTTTTATTTAATATGATAAACAATTTGTATTTTTTCTCATTTCACTTAAAATTAACCTAGAGATTCTAAACCTTTAATTAGGTCCTTCCTTGGATGTTGTATGAAGGATTAACAAATTGATTTTATATGTAAATACTTTTGTAAATTTATTTTTATTTTTCTTGCTTTACTATGATAAATGATTTGTATTTTACCTCCTTTCACTCAAAATTAGCCAATAGTTATAAATCTTTAATTAAGTTTTTCTTCAAATGTTGCATTAAGAATAAATGAGTTGATTTTATATATAAATATTGACATGTGGAATTTATTTTTGTGATGTTTACTTTATTCTTCCTTATTTCACTCAAAATTAGCAGATGAATTAAAAAATTTTAAATAGGTCATTCATTGAATGTTGCATTAAGGATAAACTAGTTGATTCTATATGTAAATATTACATGTGTGAATTTATTTTTATTTTTTTGCTTTAATATGATAAGTAATTTGTATTTTTCCTTATTTCACTCAAAGTCGACGTAGGAATTGCAAACACTTAATTAGGCCATTCCTCGTACATTGCCTTAAGGGTAAACAAGTTGATTCTATATGTAAATATTGACACGCGTGAGTTTGTTTTTATTTTTGTTTTTTTTTCTTTTAATATGATAAGTAATTTGTATTATTTCTTGTTTTTTTCATAATCAATCTAGAAATTATAAATCTTTAATCAGGTCCTTCCTCGAGTATTGTGTGAGTTTTTCTTTCTTTCTTTTTTATAATGATAAGTGATTTGTATTCTTCCTCATTTCACTCAAATTTGGCTTATGAATTTCCACCTATGAATTGTAAATCCTTACTTAGATCCTTCCTTGAATGTCATTAAGGATAAACAAGTTGATTATATATCTATGATTAATATTTATGGATTTGTTTTAATGTTTTTTTCTTTGATATAATAAGTGAACTCGGGTTGGATTGACACGATCTCATAAGTCTATTAAAAATGTCAAGGTCTTTAAATTCATTTTAAACATGATCAAATGAAATGGATTGATACCCAGTTAATTATCGCTATACTTTCAAGTTTAATGCTCATATTTTAAAAGTAAGGATTATACTTTATTGTTATTTTAAGTTTTAAATTATCATTCTAGGTTTTAATAGTCTCTTATACTTAATAACAAATACAAATATATTAATTTAAACAAACTCTTAGTATGTAAATACCATAGGTATTTTTATCATTAAAAATAAATATAAAACAACTTATTTTATATAAGATATTATCTTTCCTACCCTTATTTGAATCTTTTAAAAATAGGTATTCTGTGCCTATTGGTCCCAAAACTTATTAATTACAAAATGACATGTTTTCCTTGTGCATGGATTTCTGCTACACGTAAGACATCAATGAAAATGAGTGAGGGAGAAGTTAAATGCTGTCAATGAAGAAGACAGGATGCAGCATATTAGGTGGAGCAGCTGGATCATATAATATGGGATCTCATGCCTCTAATTTATCGAAATTAAAGCCATCATCTCTCTTTTAATCATGACGATGCGCTCAAAATCTGGGGACAGTCTGCTTATATTAAAGTTTTGGACCCTTTTTAATGCACAGTCGGTGACTATAATAGTCAAAGTTCGCTGCGAGGACAGAGGCTGTGTAATTTGACTAAATTTCGCGTGCATGGTTTGGTAGAGTTCCAGTCCTCACAAATTCATCACCACACGTGCTTTGACAAACCTCCTTCATTGTAGACGAATCTATTGACTATTGCGTGCTGCATTAACTATTAGCTTACAAGTTGTTGTTTTTTTTTAAAAAAAACACAAATAATTAATAAATTTTAAGAGATTGGTTTGGTGATCAAGGGATTTTGCATTTTCCTCTTTTTTTGAAAGGATAATTGCTGAAACAATATTTAGAAGGTGTTTTAAAAGAATATTTTTTTTTAAAAAATTATTTTTAACATTGATACTTCAAAAAATACAAAAATATTAAAAAATTTAATTTGAAGTAAATAAAAAATAATTTTTTTAATTTTAAAAAAACACATTTAAACCATAAAAACAGTATTAGATCCATATAAAATATGTACTTTTAAAATTGTTTAAATAGAAATTTAATCTCAATTAATGCAAAAATTAATTTGATAATGTTTTTATTAAAAAAACAGTTATTAGCTAGATGTTTCTCATGAAATTTTGATATTTGTATATACCCCACTCCATTTAAATAGCTAGGAGTAAACAAATTTCTTAAAGCAATCCCTCTCAGAAGAAGAAAGTTTATTGCAATTGGTGTTTTTTTTATCCAAACTGATTTAATAATAAATTTAGGTTGATTTGTGATTCAATTGACTCGAAATGAAATACAAGTAAAAAATTTAATGAATATTTTTTTGTAAAAACAAAGTTACTTTGATTTTTTTTTTATTTGGATCAACATGTGTTGACCCTCCCGACCTGTTACTTGAGCCTTGCTCAAAGTTGATTCTCGAATCAGATTTTAAAATTATAATAATAATTATTTTTATTCATATATTGACTTCAATCAATTTAGGTTGATCCTTTTGACTTATGATCCAGATATTTTTTCAAGTCAAACTTCAAGTTGAGTTTAAAAACTATAATAATACTTATTTTTATCCTTATATTACTCGAGTCAATGGTCAACCTAACACATGACTCATATCTTTTTCTAAGTCGATCATTGAG